CGACACGGGGAAGTATAATCCTGACGGGTTTTTCCCCTTCGTCTCCATTGCGTTTGAGGTTAGGGAGTCTCAGAAATGGGAGCATTTTCATGTTCCTCTCTTGCTTTCCCCATTCTCATTCTCCACTTACCGTGGGAGCTAAGTTATTGTGATGGCTGTTGTGTTGATTAAAATTATGTTTAAGATAAACGAATCACTTGTGATATTCAAAATAAAGGCTTATGGATGAATAGTATTATTAAGAGCCCAAATATTTGGTCTTTTTAGGATTAAGCACCAATATTTTGTATTCCCCCATCCCGTTGCAGGTTCATTATTTGACAGGATCAAATTTAATTTACTTTTTACTTACTCATTTGATAAATTAATATAGTTATGTCTTCTCTTGTTTCATACCTGAAGTAAAACTTTTGATGTAGATTATAAATATGTAATACCTCCATCCAGTTTTAAATCGTTTGTTTTGATTTTTGGGCAAGAAAAGAAAAAATAGAGTTTGATGGTGTAAATTACTTGACCGGTCAAACTATACTAGACCGGGTCTAGAATAGTTTGCTGGATTTGGCAAAGTAAGAAAGGTAAAAGCACGCAGATTGACCGGTAGGACTTTAGGTGGAACACCTGTAGCCCGATTTATATTATAACGGAGTATGCACGGGTGCTTTTACAAGGGAGTTTAGAAAGAATGAATTCGGATCCCCTTTCTGAAGTTTACAAGGGGTATATATACTAAGCTGGGGGACAGGTCCACGTGCGCCCACGTGGGGGCACGTTGTTGACGTGGTGCGAGATGACTGTCCTTGAGCCGCCTTGTCATCTTGCGAAGGGGATTCTCCTCCTTGTCACGTTCTGGCTTGGAAATATTCCTCCAGGATCTCTGCAATTCCAACCACTAAAGTCCAAGTCCTTTTGGACTCCTCCTGCCGACACTCCTCGATCTCTAAAAGTTGTACCGGTTGATTTCTGAAGGCTTGGATTAATTGTCTTCGGAATCGGTTCCTGCTGATGGAATACGCTGACCGGTATACTTTCTGAAGTGTACCGGTCCACTTTTTGGTCACTCGGTGGTCCATTCAGATCTCTCTTCAAAGTTTGACCTCTTTGACCGGTCAACTATCCGGTCCTGACCTTTGACCGGTCGTGGGTGAAATACACCCAACAATAAGCCCTCCACTTCTCGGTGATGCAATTTTGTCATAAAGCGGGAAGTAAAAATTTAAAACTGGACCTTTAAATTCAAATTTCTGGCTTTTCCCGCTCGAAATTTTTGAATTTCAAAATTCAAAGTGTCAGTTATGACACGTGTGGCCCGCTGGACGACGTCAGACCTGCGCCCTTTCGTCTTCCCAGGCGCAATGATGGCGCCGCCTGACGCGGCGCGCCCTGGTGAAGCCACGTCGCCTCCCTCTCCTTCCTCCTTGCCTATATAAGGGCCTTCATCCCCACCACCTTCCTCACTTCTTCCTCGCGCGTCTCTTGAGTTTCACCGGTCAACTTCTCTTTCCTGCCCTCCAGCCCTCCGAGCCAAGTAAGCTCCCTTCCCTCTTCAGTTTTCATTCCCGGTCCATGTCTTCTTCTGATAGTCAAGGTATCTCTTCCTCGGATGCCTGCGCATCCGAGGAATCTTCAACCTCCTCTTCTTCGACCGGGTCCTCTTTATCCAGTTTCGAGACCCGGTCAGGCCCCAACACCACCGTCCCTGAACCGCAACCTGTTAACCAGACGCCCGGTCAGGTTTCTCAGGAGAGGGATGAACCGGTTGACGACGAGCCGGCTCCCTATGACCCTGACAGCGAGTCGTACGAGGGATGGGTGAACCGGCTGGATGCCGCCGGTTATTTTCCTCTCCCTTCCAGCTACCCGCTTGACATCTACCCCCGGGTCTCTAAGATTGCCCAAAACAAAGCCCGTAGGAATCTCCCGGAGGGGTATGTCCTTGAATACGACCCTAACTGGCGCAATATCATCGAGCCTCACCGGGACGATAGGGTAGGGTTCCATATCATCTCCCTGGAGAGTGGCACCGTCTTCCCCCTTCGCCCCCT